ACAGATTCATGGCTATTCACTCGCTGGTAGTGGGGCTGCAGGAGTTCCCGACTACGACGGCGAGGACCTGTATGAGGCTCCTAGGCCACATGGCGGCGTGCACTTATGTGGTCCAACACGCCAGGCTACACATGCACCCATTGCAGGGGTGGCTCAGGGTAGCGCACAACCCCTTGAGGTTGCCGCTAGATGCGGTAGTGACTATTCCTCAGGACATTCTTCATTCGCTGGACTGGTGGAAGGACGAGGGCACGGTGTGTGTGGGGGTCCGATTCACCAAACCGTCCCCATCAGTGCAGCTGGTCACGGATGCTTCGGACGTGGGATGGGGCGCTCACCTGGGCAACCTCAGGACGCAACAGAGGAGGTCAACAAAGGAGGTTCACCTCCATATAAATATCAAGGAGCTGCGGGCGGTCAGGTTGGTCTGCAGGACAGAGTGGTGGCGGTGCTCACAGACAAGACTACGGCCATGTTTTATATCAACAAGCAGGGTGGGGCGCATTCCTTTCCCCTGTGCCGGGAAGCCCTAGATCTATGGGAACTGTGTATAGCCCACGGTATTTACCTGGAGGCATCTCACCTTCCGGGAACCAGGAACGGGCTAGCGGACAGGCTCAGCCGTTCGATCCAGGCACACGAGTGGGTGCTAAGGTGGGATGTACTTCACGGGGTCTTCTGAAGGTGGGGGTTTCCCCGCCTGGACTTGTTTGCAACTCTGAGCAATGCCAAGTGCAGGGAGTTTTGCTCGTACATGGGGCACGGTCTGGGCGATGCACTGCAGGTCAGCTGGCCCAGGGGCCTATTCTATGCCTTCCCCCCGTTTCCCCTGATCCACGACACAATCCTCACCCGTTCCCTCTGATCCACGACACACTCCTCAGAGTGCAGAGCTTCAAGGCCCAGATCATCCTGATAGCGCCAGTATGGCCTCGGCAGTACTGGTTCACCACCCTGCTGGTTCTGTCTGTGGAGGGCCCGCTCAGGCTACCCCTCGGGCTGGATCTAATCACTCAGAGCTGCGAGGCCGGGGTAGCTCTCCACCTGAGCCTACCATCTCTGCACCTAGCAGCGTGGCTCCTCAGTGGCTCAGCGAGCCTGCTCCAGAGCAGTCCACGAGGTCCTCCTAGAAAGCAGAAGGCTGTCCACTAGAGCCCTTTACGAGGCTAAGTGGAAGAGGTTTACTTCGGGAAGAGGTTTGCTGGGTGGCTGGAGGGCAGGACGCTCGCTCCAGGTGAAGGGGCGGTTCCGACTGTCTTGGAATACCTTCTACACCTGCGGAAACAGGGCCTGGCCACAGCCTCCCTAAGGGTATACCTGGCGGCCATAGCAGCTTTCCACGCCGGGGGGGAAGGAGGGGGGCAAAGGTCTATCTTTGCCAATCCCTTGGTTAAAAGATGTCTAAAGGGAATTGACAGAATGATGCCATATGAGAGACCTCCAGTCCCGGCTTGGGACCTTAACCTGGTCCTGACTGCCCTTATGAAGCCCCCGTTCGAGCCTCTGGCTTCATGCTCTTTGAAGCACCTGTCCTATAAGGTAGCTTTCCTCGTGGCCATTACCTCGGCTAGGAGTGTATCAGAGCTTAGGGCTCTCACCTCAGAACCACCCTACACGGTGTTTTTTAAAGATAAGGTGAGGTTGCGTCCACACCCGGGGTTTCTTCCCAAGGTTGTCTCGCACTTCCATATGTCCCAGGATATCTACTTGCCAGTGTTTTACCCCAAGCCACACGCGTCGCCCAGGGAACAGGCTCTGCACTGCCTGGATATTAGGAGGGCATTGGCATTTTATATAGATAGGACACGAGAGTTCCGTAAGTCAATTCAATTGTTTATTTCAGTGGCGGAAAGGATGTGAGGGCAGCCAGTCTTGGCGCAGCGTATATCCTCGTGGATTACTTCCTGCATTCGACTGTGCTACGAGGGCGCGGGTAGCCCACCGCCGGGCATAACAGCACATTCCACTAGAGCCCAGGCAATGTCGGCGGCGTTCCTGGCTTGCGTGCCGATCTTGGAGATCTGCAGGGCAGCAACCTGGTCATCGGTGCACACTTTTGCAGAGCATTATGCAATCACGCAACTGGCCAGGGAGGACGCTGTCATTGGGAGGGCAGTTCTCTGCTCTGCAGAATGATAAGGCAGTAGTTAGTCACCTTCCGACCCCGCCTCCGGAGAGGGGACACGGCTAGGGACTCACCTAATCAGAATGGACATGAGCAAGCACTCGAAGAAGAAGAAGAAGAAGAGGTTACTTACCTCGTAATTGTAGTTCTTCGAGATGTGTTGCTCATGTCCATTCTGATTAGATGTACGTGCGCCGCGTGCACGGATTCCGGAGCTTTTTTCCCTTAGCAGTATCCATAGGGCCAGCAGGGAGCCCCCTGGAGTGGCGCCGGTATACCGGTGCATATATACCCCTGCTGGCCCCTCCACCCCCTCAGTTCCTTCTTGCCGGCTCCTTGCGACATGGGGAGGGGGGGGGGCTGCGGGA